TGGAGGAGGGGCTGATCTACCCTGTTTTGAAATGCGCCACACCTTCTACTTCCATTCAGAATCGTAGGGGAAATTTTAATGCACATAATTTGGCCTGTACAATGACTTTCCGGGGCTAGCCGATGTACATTGCAGTACCTTTCATTTTTCTAGACAGGTCAAGCATCACTCAGGTGATCCCGAAGAGAGGAAAGGCCTGGTTTTCCTGAAGGACGCACGGAGCAGTAGGCGCGTGGCAAGCAACGCCACTTCCTTCTACACCAATTCAGCCCTGAACCTTTGTTCGTGCAAGAAAAAACATAAAATTTCTGCCAAATTTTCATTTTCAGGTTATTGTGGCTCTCACAGCTGCCATTCTGATTAATTACCAATCTGTCTCTGAAACTTATATATCCTGTCTTAACAACAGTCACGGTGAGGTCCAATTTTGTGAATTATTTTTGATAATTTTGATCAAAAGCCAACAAAATCTTGCATCTGTCACAATCTCAATCGATTTTCTTCTTGCATACTAGCAGAAAGATTATCAATGCCCCAGAATTACTAGTTAAAGGCTTATGGCAGGAAAAGTTGGCCGTCGATGGAAACGATTGGTAGAGGTATAATGTAACGGTGAAGAAAAAATTAAGGTAAACGGTGCGAAACTGCGAAATGGGAACCTCGTTTTCTCAGTTGATTTCGCTTAGAACGAGTAGCATCGGTGCTGATGTCATTAATGAGCACCCTGCTCTGCCTCTCTACTAAAACGAGTGGGGTACGATGGTGAGGGCCAGTGGCTGGAGTAGCCAATTGATGGGGAAACAGAGAAGACGCATCGTCGAAGAAAGGCGAAATCTCTGAAAGGTCATTACAGGAGGGCTTCACCCCTAAAGCTGACAATTGTCGCTCTTACAAGGGAGGTCTTTCAGGGCAAGGTGCGCTTTTTCAAAACGGTTTTGTGCATATTGTAGGGACGCATGTAGGGAACGCAAAACCATGTTTCATTTTCGCTGAACGGTTATAGCAGTACCAAAAAAGAAGCATAAGGTACTGTTAAGGGTTCGATCCCCCGTGGCGACTAAATTTTGCATTTGGGTTGGCGCCTACGGTTTGGTGCCAAATCGCGCTAAATATCAAAAT